CCCCCTCCAAATTTCACTAAGTCGCATTAGGGTACTAAACTCTATATGGGGGCCAATATTGAAATAGCTGCAAATCTCGGACACTTATCGTGTTTCATAGCGATGTACGAAAAACAGAAGAAAATTGCAAAAAAAAGACAGACGCCAATATCTCGTGGCCGGTTCTGAAGTTATTCGCGTTTTTAGGAAGCGTCCACACAGAACGAATAACAGAGAACGGGCAAACAGACAATAAAAACTTTTTTTCTACGCTGATCATTTGTAAACCAAACGTTGCCGAGATATGAGTTACGTTGCCAAGCGCGTATACCTTCGAAAAAAATCGATTTCATCAAGATACGACCCGTTTTTGACGATTCAGCCAAAGGGAAGAAAAGTCCTTCGTTGAAGCAATGCCTTGATAAGAAGGTGAACTTAATTGAGCTAATTCCGGACATCTTACTCAGGTTCAGACAGTGCCAAATCAGGTTAAAAGCGGACATTTGTAAGGCATGTGTTCATCAAGATGACAGAGACTACCTTCGCTTCTTCAGAGGGCCGCAAAAAAATTTACAGACGATTTGTTTTTGGAGTCAACAATGGTCCTTTTTTGTTAGGGGCTACCATATTTTATATCTCGTTGTCTGGAAAGATGGGAGGGGAGTTGTCCGAAAGGTTTTATGTGAACAATTGTGTTTCGAGTGTGTTGATGTTGGCACCTTAAACAAGTTTATCGGAGAGTCGACTAGTGCCATGGCCGAAGCCCGTTTCGACTTACGAGTCTGGCAGTTCACGCATCAGCCAGTTAAAACGGACGTCTCATCAGAGTGTTCACTTACTCTTCTGCTAGGATGATTTTGTTATACGAGCAGCGATTTTTTGACTATTTCCAAAGACTGTATGGTAGAGTTGGGCAAGACAGCAAATGAAATTGTCGCCAAGAGATTGATGCTTTCATTGACGCAAAAAATGTTTTTAAAACAGCGATTTCTACACATTTAACTCGTTTTCCTAGAAAATTTAACGAGGTCTGGACATGTTTTGAAAAAAATGTTTCCGTAAAAATGCTACATCTATAGAAAAAGGAGAATAAGCGCTTGTGGAATGAATAATCTGGTTATAGTCGTACCTATCTATACGGTCAAAAGTTTGTCATCGAAACGGACCATAACCCACTAGTGTGGCTGTCAAAGTTAAAAGAACCCAATTATCGCCTTATTCTTTGGAGGCTTAATCTCGAGGAATTCGATTTCGAGATTAAATTCAAAAAATGAAAAGAAAACTTCGCAGCAGATAGACATAAATGCTTTGCACGAAGACGAAACACAATCTAACATCCCCGATGTCGACGGTACAGTCGCTAATCTAGCTTTTATTATTTCTTTTTCCTGTTTGGCAGTAAATAATTAAAACGTCATTCGGGCATTACGTTGTCATTTATTTATATCAATTAAACTAACAAATTCTATTATGACAATGAGAACGATTGAGTATTACATAATATATTAACTAAATAATTGTCAGTTGGGCCGTGGAACCATCTACAATTTGGCTTGGGTTTGATGCTTGACTTAGTGTAAAGTGAATCTCAGTATTATATAGATCGCGATGAGGATGGAACAGAATTTCCAAAGCACCCACGTGCAGAAAATAAAATTGCACTCGTCTATCTCAATATGATCGCCGAAATCTAAAATCAGTGAATTTTCGGGAAGTACATCAAACAAATCATCCACATATTGGCATAAAAGTGGAAATTTATAATCAACTTTATCTACAATGAAATATAATAATTTATTCATCACAATTTCCGCGATCAATAGGGAGGCGGCACCACCCATCGGCAGACCCTTAATTTGTTGATAGTAATCGTTGTTAAAGGTGAAAAAAGTGTTACTATATAGGAAGCGAATCATATCAATAAACTGTTTTTTCGGAATATTACAATTGGGTTCAATCAAATTGAAATGCTCGTCTAAAATTGCCAATACTAACTCTAGGGTGATATTCGTAAAAAGAGACACCACATCAAAAGAAGCAAGCACAAAGCCCTGAGGTATTTGAACACCGTTAACAAGTTCGTCAAATTCGAATGTGTTTCTAATTCTAAATTTATTGAATTCAGCGAAAGAGGCGCTCAATGGCAAAGAAAATGAATCTTCGGCCTGCCTAAGTCCTTTGATCTTTTTAAAATTATTCCCCTTAATTTTATTAAAAATCGAATTGTATTGAATGTTCGGTGTGAATAAAAAATCATCTAATATTAAAAGGAAGGTTTTTTCCACGTAGAAAGTCTGTATGTCGCCTCAAAGTACGTTCAAGTGTCATGTTGTGCATTTTTTTAGTTACCTTTTGTGTTCAGTTGTGAAGGTATGCGCCACAGTTGTTGTGTGCCATCTTGTAGATATCTGGGAGGCACGACGTCAGTGCCATATGTGATTCCAATCCTACGATAGAATTATCCCATTCTTACTCCTAGAAGCAAAGTGTAAATACAGTTAGGGGCTACTGGTAACTTGTTGCACAAAATAACTACGGGATCGCCCAATATTGACTAATATAGAGGGATCAATAAAAGATGTAAATGCTCATTGAATAGTGGCTTTTTATTGTTAAGTCAAGCTTTCGTCCAAGTATTTAGGCTTCCTCGGGACACTAGAATGTAATTAAACTCTAACAGCAGAGGGGGCACAGTACCCCTTGCACAAACAGAGAACCACGTGTTAGCCATTAAAGTAAAGGCTGCACAGATTAAAATAGTAAAACAAAGGAAACTTATGCCTAGACAACGAGTCACTAATCAATAAGTCAAATAACCGTAAACGACAAAGACCCAACAAAAATGCAACGCAATTCTATTCTGTCTGGTGGTCTGGTGATAATCTGCTCAACGACATTTAAAAAAAAAAACGACAAATTTGACAGTTGGAAAAATTTTCAGGCACATATAAAGAAAACTTGATAAATCAAAGAATCACCACCTTACAAAACCAAAGAATAAAAAGCAAAAAACCCACCACCGACCATTATCTTCGAACTTACCTTTAACCACGGTGAAAAACGCACAGACAATAATTTTAGTATTCGACTAGATCACAGACCCACAAAATTTTTTCACCTAAACCAACACTACAGGGCTTTTCTTGAATAGCAATCTGCTCAAACCGCGACTCAGGTAGAGAGTTAAGATTGTTAAGTTGTTTACAGATCTCTATAGACTCTCGCATTTTTCGTTGGTAGAAGAATTGATTACATGCAAGAATGTTAGTCGTTATTTAAAATAGAAAGATGAGACCTCTCACAAAACACTATGGCAATACTATAACATATTAAATTTCAAAAGTTTTAAAGTTTTAAGCCACAGTTTTTGAAACACGGTTACTACGGCACTTTTGACTTTTGAATATTACAATTGGGTTCAATCAAATTGAAATGCTCGTCGAAAATTGCCAATACTAATTCTAGGGTGATATTCGTAAAAAGAGACACCACATCAAAAGAAGCAAGCACAAAGCCCTGAGGTATTTGAACACCGTTAACAAGTTCGTCAAATTCGAACGTGTTTCTAATTCTAAATTTATTGAATTCAGGCGCTCAAAATCTGACCAACGAAACATGTCAATGGCTGTGTAGTTTCTCCGACACAAGACACTATAGGACACAGTGGGCAGTCCTCTTTATGGACTTTCGGTAAGCCATAATACTTTGGGCATACACGGTTTTATGTGATAAGTTTTTTTGAGATGGCTTCTTCAATATACCCTTGTTCTTTAATTTTTTTCACTAATGTATTACATTTATTTTTTGTTGAGGACGTAGGGTCTCTATGGACTGGAATATACGTTGCATTATCTCCAAGGAGTTCCAATGATTTTTGTATATATGATTCTCTAGACATGGCAACCGTGACCCTTGTCAGACTTGGTAATTGGTAGGTTAGAGTTAGCTCAGAAATTCCCTTGTCCGTCTCTCAATGTCTCAATGGCTAGAAAACCACAAACTTCAGCAAGTATTTTTTGTGCTAGAAATGTTCTTAAACCATTTAACATAATCGGCAAAGAAAATGAATCTTCGGCCTGCCTAAGTCCTTTGATCTTTTTTAAATTATTCCCCTTAATTTAATAAAATCGAATTGAATTGAATGTTCTGTGTGAATAAAAAATCATCTAAAATATTAAAAGGAAGGTTCTTTCCACGTAGAAAGTCTGATAAACTGGTCACAATCTGCGGTAGACATGTTGTGCATTTTTTTAGTTACCTTTTGTGCTAGAAATTCAAGTTGTCTATGGTTAGTGTTGTTCAGTCGTTGAAGTATGCGCCACAATTGTTGTGTGCCATCTTGTAGGTATCTGGGAGTCACGACGTCAGTGCCATATGTGATTCCAATCCTCCGATAGAATTATCCCATTCTTACTCCTAGAAGCAAAGAGTAAATACAGTAAGGGGCTACTGGTAACTTGTTGCACAAAATAACTGTGGGATCGCCCAATATTGACTAATATAGAGGGAGCAATAAAAGATGTAAATGCTCATTGCTCTTTTTATTGTTAAGTCCAGCTTTCGCCCAATTATTTAGGCTTTCTCAGGACACTAAAATGTAAAAGGGAAACACTCTATCACAAAAATAAGAAAAATACACTGGGCTTGTCAATACATACATCAATTAAACTCTAACAGCAGAGGGGACACAGTACCCCTTGCACAAACAGAGAACCACGTGTTAGCCATTAAAGTAAAGGCTGCACAGATTAAAATAGTAAAACAAAGGAAACTTATGCCTAGAAGAGTCACTAATTAATAACTAAAATAACCGGAAACGACAAAGACCCAACAAAAATGCAACCCAATTCGATTCTGTAGGGAATAGTATGCTCAACGGCATTCAAAAAGAAAAACAGACAAATTTAACAGTTGGGAAAATGGTCAGGCACATATAAAGAAAACGACATATCAAAGAACCAAAGACTCACCACGTTACAAAAGCAAAAAACCCACCAACGACCTTTAACTTCGAACTTACGTTTAACTACGCTGAAAAAAGTACTTTCCAACTATATTAAATAATTATTCTCATCTCCTAATGATAAAAACATTAAAAACTAAATATGAAGCTGGTAAAAACCTTTTACAGTATGTTACAACTTTACTGGATAAAGTTAGGACAAAGATTGTTGATTCTGGTATTCCAAAGTCTTTATTGGATGAGGCCTTAAAGTGTTGTATGAACTAAGTCGGACTCCAAATAGGGCGATAGTTAGAGTAGTGGCACCCTCTACAATTTGGCATGGGTGAAAATCTAAGCAAGCTTCAGCCTGGTATATTACTCTACCAAAGAATAATAGGTTAGATGCTAAATCAAAAACCAAAAAAATAACAATCAAATCTTTATGCCTATATGTGGCAATTTAGAGAATATCACCAACAAATGTAAAATCATGTTTAATCCCCATTTCTCAAATTGGAATCCTTTCATACAGAGGCTTGAGAGAAAAATGACAACACTGTATAATCAAACTAATGTCTAGGCCGCTAGCTTGCTTTTTCCAGAGCACTAGTTAAATCTTCTAGTTCTACAGGAATATTCTAAAATAACATTAACATAATTGAAATTTATTAATACCTATATACTCGATACTAATAATTTATCTACCTTGAAGCAGATCTATTCTATAAATTCCCTCAAGTTCCTTTCTCTCTCAGACATGCTTGCAACTCTTAATATTTCCGCCTTGTGGTTGGTCCTCCAAGTGTTTATGATTGTGTTGTCCCTTCCTGATGCTTAACATTTTGTTTCTGTACATTTAAGATATTATTTTCCAATAACTGAAAATTAAGATACAGAAGAAATTGCACAACATTTAAAAAAAAAGCAATTTGGCAAGAGAAGGAAATTTACTTTGACAATTAGACTGCCACATTTTCGAAGTTATTTATATTATTGGAAAAGTATCTGATGAAAATTACAAGTATGTTTTTTATATAGTGTGCCGATTACTGCTGTTATAGTTAAAGTCTTATTTTAGTGGATACCACCTGGAAATGCCAATGTATCAAAATTTATAAAAGAAAAGCACCAGAAGAAAATACTAAAAAGTAAGAAATTTCTTTTGAAATTGAATTAAATTTCCCATATACCTTTATTTCTACCTTTGTTTTTAGGATAAATAAGTTGGTCAGCAAAAGTTGTGCTTGTAGAAGAGATTTTCATGAAAAGATATTAAAAGGGATTAGTGAAGTGTAAGTGCTTTTCTTTATTGCAAGCTTTTTTGTTAATGTATTTTTTAGTCAACCACACACTAGTTCCAAGTGCAAATGTAAGATACATTTTAATAGGAGAATGGTTAAAGAAAAGACTGGGTGAGTAAATAGTTTTTGTTATTACTTGTTTAGTTTTCACAAATTTACTCCGTATGAAATTTCTAAGCTTAACTGCTGTGCCCGCTACTGCTCTATGGCTCATAAACCACTTAGCAACATGGTAGAATGCTCTGACAACCTTGTTAAAAAAGTTACATTAAATTCTCTATTAAAAAGGTTTGTTTGTCAACACTTGTTATTTTTGTCTATTAAAACACATTGAAATTTAGTTAATTGAAAATATTAATATATTAAGACAAAATACCAAAAAGTCAATTCTAAACACATATAGTTCTGAGCAACATCTCATAATACTTGCAAAATACTACTAAATATTTCTTATCCATATGTAAGCATTAAGTAAGTGTAGTAGTAGTCAAGAAATCTTTAGGTGAAGGAGTTCTCTTTAATTATGTTCTAACCAATACAATCTTTGTTTTGTTTGTTGTTTTTTTCAAACCAAGTTTATATTTATGAAAAATGTATTTGCGATTGAAGCAAGCTTTGGGATGTCTGAGCTATATTATGTTGTCCACATACTGAGGCTGGAAAATCAAATTTTCTGTCAATACATTTTTTTTGGAAAATACTCCCTAATAGAAGTAGAATGGCATGAAAAGAGGCAGTTAGCAACTTATGTCTATTTTACCGATTTGGACAACTTCATGTCAGTTTTGATTGGCCAATATATATATATATATATATATATATATATATATATATATATATATATATATATATATATATATATATATATATATATATATATATATATATATATAAATATATTTCATTTCCACCTCTTTTGAGCAGTTTGTCTGCAAATATCTATAGAACTGGTGAAATAATCTACAATAAAGGCTTTTGACGTTTGATAAAGCGCAAGTCGCATTTGTTTAAGAAACACTTTTAAATTTCTTTGATATGCAACCTCTGTGGGCTTGCAAGAATGCTGATAGGTAATTCAAGCAATGTTCAAGATATAATAAATTTGACTAAAATTAAGTGTTATTTTGTATTAGTGTCTGTTATAATTATGAAAGTATTTTTTAGTAAACAGATTATCAATTTGAAGTGCAAATGTCTTAAAATTTTTAAAGGAAACATACCAGAGAAACATATAAAAAAGTAAGAATTTTGTTTTGAAATTGAGTTTGCATTTCTTATATCCTTTTTTTCTACTTTTCTTTTTAGGAAAAGTAAGTTTGTCAGCAAAAGTTGTACTTGTAGAAGAGATGTTCATGAAAAGAGATTTGGAGGGATTAGTGAAGTGTAAGTCCTTTTTTTATTATATGCTTTTTTGTAAATATATTTCTTAGTCAACCACACACTAGTCACAAGGGCAAATGTAAGATAAATTTTAATTGGAGAATGGTTAAAGAAAATACTGGGTGAGTAAATTGTTTTTGTCTTTACTTGTTTAGTTTCAACAAATTTACTCTATATTAAACTCGTAAGTTTAACTACTGTACCTGCTGTTACTCTATGGTTATAATTAGCAACATAGGGGACCATCTTATTAAAAAAATGACTTCTAAGAGTGTTATTGATTTCCATTGTTTCTGTGTTATAAAGGTTGTTTGTCGACACCTCTTATTATTGTGTAGTTAAACAAAATGAAAATTAGTTAAGTGAAAATATTAATATATTAATTCAAAATACAAAAAAAGTCAATTCTAGACATATACATTTCTGGGCACTAGTCATGAGCATTTTAGTTAATTTCCCATATGTAAACAGTATTAGTATAAGTGTGGTAGTAGTAGTCTAGGAACCTTGAAGTGTAGGAGTTCTCTATTCTTTCTGTTTAAACATACTTTTTTCTCAAACCAAGTTTACGTTAATGATTACAAAAACTTATTCTACCAAGAAAGTTGTAAAAATATCTATAGAACTGGTTAAAGACTTTTGATATTTAATAAAGTGCAAGTCCCAATTGTTTGAGAAACACTTTTAAATTTTCTTTTGATGCAATCTCCGTGCGCTTGCAACAAAGCTGATAAGTAATTGAAGCAATGTCCAGGACATAACGCATATTCCTCATAGGATGGAGAAATAGCAGCGTAATAAAAGTGTCAAATTATGAATATTAAGTGTTATTTCGTATTAGTATATGGTATAGATGTAAAAATATTTTGTCATAAAATTTATAACGGAAAAGTGCCAGAACATAAAAAAATAAGAAGTCCAGTTTGAAATTCTAATTGAATTTTCTATATGTTTTTTTAGGAAAGATAAGTTTGTCGGCAGAAAGTGTGTTTGCAGAAGAGAGCGGAAGGGATTACAGTCAAATGTGATGTGTTTCAAATATAATTTAATATTTGCTTAATAGTTGAATTTGGCATTATAATTTTTTTTTTAAATATCTTCACAATTACGTAACTGGGTCTCTATGTTTATTTCGTTTATATTTTATAATTTTTACCAAAGAAAACTAACTTTATATTTATTTTTACCCAAGTGGCTTTTATGGGCCTTGAATATATAATTCACATAATAAAATTGTTTTTTAATTTTTATATAAAAGTTAATTTAAAACGGTTGAAGCCAAAATACGGAAAGCGCCGAATGATCAGTGGCCGCGGAAATTTTTAAAACAAACCTTAACATATAAACTATTTTTCACCTCCCTATATATCAAAATATAAGAACCTTTCTTCCTTTCTACTATCTATCAAAAAAATATTTGTTTGCACTCCCGTACAAGAGTTGCTATTGAGGGAAACTAAAAAACTGAAAATATTTTTTCCTACATTAATTGAAATTTACACACTTTCACTTATCGAGGATAATATCTATCAAGTGGATAATTTTTGTTTCCAGCAGAAATATTTGCTTAGACTCCCGTACGACGGTTAGGATTTAGATTTTATTGTATGTGGCCAATGTCTGGGCCTTCCTATTCCTTCCTGCATCAAATTTATCCCTCGTACAAAGGGAGGGGTATACTTTGTGAACCTCAGGTTTGGAGATTTCGGTCCCTAATTTTAAGGACCTGTTTCTTCCTACTGCCTTTTCTTCGGAGTCGTAATTTTCGTTTCCAGCATAAATATTCGCTTCCACTTCTGTACGAGAGTAGAGTTGTAAACGTAGTAAAACTAAAAAATTGAAAAAAAAATTAATTTGTTTATTTTTACGCATTTTCAAATCTTGGTAAAACTAGATCAAGAAAGTTATACTGTGCCATCAGGCAACCGATGCTACCAGGGAAATTCCATGGTTCGCGCGGGACTCTGTTCTATGGTAGCCGTGGTAGTAGAAGGTCACGGAAATAAAGGTGTTAAAAAAACGTATATTCAGCGTATGTTATTTTAAAATGTTATAGACAATAACATGACATATACCAAAATTGTCTTGAAACAATTTAGTATGGAAAAGATCAAACCAGTTACAATACCTACGAAGAAAAACAGGTAGGTCATAACAAAAGAAACTGTGATGCTGTGGAAAGCATGATCTATTTACCAAACAAAACATACCATATAATCAGGCCATACTAAATTTAAATAGAATTGTAAAATATTTAGCAAAAACCAAAACAAAATATCCATTTTATAAAGGAAAAAGTTAGGAAAGGATTGTAGGAAAGTAGAGAATTTAATTTCGGAAAACAGTACAGCAGATGTTTATACTAACTTTAAACTCTAACTTTAAACAGTAAAAATTTTTAAACATCGGAATATGTTGGTAAAGTAATTTAAGGTAATAATTTCAAAAATTGTAATTTTTAATAATTATTCGAACACGGTGATGGGTAGTAATGAACTTATAGAAGTTTTTAGCCTCTGTAGTTAATTATTTTAAGTTCAACAAAAATGTAAGTAAATTTGTAAAAACCCATCACATACGATAAACAAAAATAAAATTCTTAAAGTTAATATAAAAATTATTATACTTATAGAAAGAAAAGCAGCCTAATCTTATTAAAGATGGCAAAATTAACTTCATATTCCACATATTTCTGACGCGACACAAAAGTGTGAAACATGCAATTTTTTGATAAAATTGTTTTTTTAGACACCGTCGGCGTTGCAAAAATTACAAGTGCCTGGTCTTACTGAGGAGAGCAAGGTACTCGCGGGAGGCGAGCCTGACCGACGATGTTACGCGGAGCGAGACTATTATGTCACCGTGGCCGCGCATAATCTATATAAATATCTCTCTCGCTGTTTGTTTTTGTTCGCAGCGAGACAATTGGGTCGTCCAGGTCGCATATAATTAAATTATTAAAGATAACCCGCAAACGTCAATAATTTTTTAAGATAGAAACTATAGTTTATTTACGGCACGTCGCAAATACGCCGCTTACGCGAGCAATATGCGAGGAAGTATTGTCTGCAGGCACATCCGTTAAACTGATAAGAGGAAAGCTCGCCTTTATTGGTATCTGCTCATATATTCAGAGGGGCGGAAAAAATAAGCAATAGGCATAGTACATTTTATTGACTAAGACGTACATAGCTGAAAAAATCTAAAGCATTGAAGAAATCTAATGAGGTATGTATAGGGAAAGACGCCCTTCTGTCGAATAAGTTGAAATTCTATCGTTTAAATTTCGACTCAATTTGTCCAAGCTGGACGCCATGACTCGAAACGAATCTAAAAATCGGAGTTTTAAAAATACCTTTTTTCGATGTTGTCGACCAATACCTGTCTCGTAAAGAAAATGTAAAAAATTTTACCTTCCGGTAGGTAAGGTCTCGGGCGCTTGGCTTCGTCAGCAGCAATAGGGACGGCGGCGGGTCTTTTCGGGTCTTTGGTATTGGTCTTAAAGGGTGGCACCCCTGCGTCCTAGCACTTAGGAAACCACATGGGTCCGTTGTGCCCTCAGACCGCGCTAGAAGGCGTCCAGAATACCGATCCTTCTATAGGTCAACAACTCCTTTAGCCCAATACCGTGCACTGAGTCCGGATCGATCAGAAGACTCCAAATCCTGCCCATGCCAAAACAGGTCCCTCGGTGAGCGGATGATACGGGGTCTCCTCCATTGGACACCTCATATTTCTCGCGTTGATGACGTCGTATATCCCACCGCATACGTCACAATGCCCGTGCCTCGCGAGCTGGTCTTTTCGGCTGAACTAGCGGTTGCAATATTCGCAGGCGAACATTATTTTTTTGCCTCTCACTCCCGAACTGTTCTAGTATCACTTAACACTTACTATTTTTATGCGGTGAAAACAAAAAAATCCAAAGAATGAAGACTGACTGTGGCGGTGGTCACATGTTAATAACGTTATTTCCTTCTCCGATAACGAAGTTAAAATAATGCAAACTTTCGAGTACGTTCCTTCCTTCCGGTTAATTAAGATTTTCTCCGGAAATGCTTATCATTACTGGGTCATATCTGTTTCGGATCTGTCGAAACCTTTTAGACGTTTTGAACATGTTCGAGAGCTGTTCCGCAGTTATTTTTAGACATAATTTAGATCTGACCAAAAGCGTCCTCTCAAATATTTGAAATAAAATGACTGGAAATATATTGTTGGGATTTTATTTTTTTATCACATTACAGTTACTGAATATTTTTTACAATTTTATACAATATCTGCTAGGCCAAAATTTTGAAAATATCCGCTTTTTACTGTGTATTCTTCGGCACGTAAGCGCAGTACTAAAAGATCGGCCTGAACAACTGCTATCTGAGTTTCGAGCTGCTGGATATTTTCTTCGCAAACTACCACTTTTTTTTGTCATCTTTAAAAGCCTCAAACCATTCTCCTTGTGCTTGCGGTAGAGATTTAATTTTTCTTCTTTTATCTCGGCAATTGCACCAATAGGTTTGCCTTTTAGAATATCAGTAGTTATCTACACACTTAACTGTGACCGGGGATGATATCTAGGTGACCATCATCCCTCCAGAAGGGGTCGTAGCAGCTGAAAAAGTAAGGTGTCTCACCTGTCGCTAATTACAGGTGTAGGTGTAATGTCACCTGACCTGTGGTAACCGTTAGGTGTAGGTGACCCCTGTCGCTAATTACAGGTGTAATGTCACCTTACCTGTGTCGAACGTGAGGTGTAGGTGTGTATTCGCACCCATCGTTATTTTTATGACGTCACAGTGCCTTTCGGCACGCCGACCTCGTTAGAGAGTTAATTTTTCGCGTTAGTGCCTTTTGGCAATTCCGACCCCGCTAGGGGGTTAGTTTTCGCGTTAGTGCCTTTTTGGCAATTCCGACCCCGCTAGACGGTTAGTTTTCGCGTTAGTGCCTTTTTGGCGGTTCCAACCCCGCTTGAGGGGTAGTTTTCGCGTTAGTGCCTTTAAGGCAATTCCGGCCCTGCTAGGTGTAGTTTTTGCGTTAGTGCCTCTTTGGTAAACTCACTCCCGGTAAAAAAGGGGTTTGTTAGAAAAATAAATTTAGTAGTGCCTTTTTGGCACTACGAGGGAAATAAATGGGCGTATTTTTGAGAGGAGAAAAAACCGACCGGTGTCGCGGTCGGGATTTGAATTTCGAATCTTCGGATAAGCGCCGCCGACGCGCTGTTCCTATAGCCTAACTCGGCTTACATGGGATAGCCGACGACGACTCGTTTATTTCGCGGCGGCGACGATAAGAGAATTCAATTAAACTTATTAAATAAACACGCTTCGATAAAATGTATGATTTATTGACATTTACAAAGTATTGACATCCGATATGTTTAAATTTGCTAATCGGGGAAATATTAGAAATGCGCGAAATAAATAAACATATTTTAATTAACTTACAATGTATCTGGTTAAGGGTTGAATAACATTTTTTGGTAACTTTATAATTTTTTTCCTTTGAGTTGAGTATACAACACCCCCACCATACCCAACCTTGGTTAAGCCTCGAGAAAAGACAGACTTGCGTGAGGGTCTGTAGTGCGATCCACGAAAAAACAAGCTCTCTTCCGTGACCGGTTCGCGAAAACCCCGCCCTCTGTTCCTTACCACCCCCCAATGCTTCAGAAAATACCCCTAAGGAGACCCAGCCGGGCAGACGACGACGCGGGAAACCATCAAGGTGGGTGATTAATCGTTTCGGGTGTTGTATGTCCTACCGTTTTCTTGCCGCTCTTTCCCGTTTAAGTTTTGAGGGTGATTTACAACCACCTTCCCCCAACCCTTCACATATTGCTCCTTCTCCCAGGATTAGAATCAGTCTTTTGGATTTTTAGAGTCATTCACAAACTTTAGTAATTTAATGTTCGCTATCGTGAACAGGTTAGCAAAAAACGTGTAAAGTTTGGAGCGCAAAAAAGCGGTCTCAGAAAAAGCGTTTACCGTCGATTCGAATTGCGGCCGTCTTCTTTATTTGATTCGTTCTAAACTTATTTTCTGGGTGCTCAAATTCTTCTTCCTTTTAATTTACAGCGGGTACTCTGTAGCTTTTGGAAAGAAGAATTTTGTTCAAAACGATTTCGAGACTTAGGTGTGCATTTGTTGATTCTGTGGTGGAGCATTGCACGCGGCGGTTTAACCTCCGTTTGCTCCCGACAGAATCCCTTGTATTCGTCCTCAAAAGTTTGATATCGGTTTCCACTGTGTGGACTTAGTGTTTTTAGTGTTCAGTGCATGTTTTAAAGTGATAATCGTCGTCGGCCCCGTCGTTTTTCCCTGTTCACGCCGGTATGGAGGCCGGATGGGCCCGGATGGTCCGCGGTGGAAGCGGGGGGAAGCCGATTTTTTTTGGTATCGGTCAGAATCGTTTTTTGCTAGCTGAGCAAATTATTGGTTATTCTTCTTCTTTGTACGTGGTGGTCAATGACCAGAAGCGAAAATCCTCGACGGAAGTCGGCAATGGGCGAATGATCCTAGCAGTCGTGCCCAACATTTTTTTGTGAAACGCATAATTGAATTGAATTGTGTGCATTTGTTTACAAAACGATTTAGAATGTCGGAAATGGATACATTTAGTGCTAAGCGGGATTTAACACTTAGACGCTTTAACGATATATTGTTAGCGGGTGAGAAAGCTCGCGTTGAACCCGATGATGATGAAATTTTATGCAATTTTATGGATGTCAAGTTTAGCTAGCACTTTTGAGTCCTTGCAATTGGAAGTAATCTCCTTAGCGAATGATTCGGAAAGAGATCGACAGTTTGCGGTTCAAGATCACTTTCATCAATTGCATTATTCAATTCGATCTATTGCCAAGCGATTATTTGAGAAAGTGGAACCTAAGGCTCACCGGCACCATCGTAGTTAGTCGAGACTCGCAAAGAAATAGTAATCTCCGACTCCCCCGTATTGCCATTCCGAAATTTGATGGTGACTTGAAAAATTGGCCTACATTTTTTGATATGTTTAACACCTTAATCCATAATAATTCTTCCCTTTCAAACATTGAAAAATTTCAATTTTTATTGTCTTATTTGGTCGTATTGGTAGTATAGCTTACAATGCTCTCGTGAAGCGTTATTAAAAGATCGATTGATGTTAACCGATTATTGGCTGTCGATCTTACGGGCTCGGACTATGAAGAGTGACTCGGTTGTCGAACTGAGGAGATTGCTTTCAACATTTTCAGAGAATCTTGCAGCTATCGATAAATTCAATATCGACTTGTGGGATTTTACAAAATTCAATTTGCTTTTAGAGAAACTCAACTCGACTCTCAAGATGTCCCGTTAAGACCAATAGTTAGCGCACCCGGATCACCAACGTATTACTTGGTTAAACACTTGGCATCGCTGCTCCAACCACACATAGGACACGGCACCAGTTACATCAAGGACTCCACCGACTTCATGCGCAAGATTCAAGATATCAATATTGAACAAAACGACATCTTTGTGAGCTTCGACGTCGTCTCACTGTTTACCAAAGTACCTCTGAAGAGTTGCTTGGACATGGTGAACTGGATATTTCCTGTCGATATTTGCTGACTTTTTGAAGTCTGTCTGACCGGTAGCTATTTTGTGTTTAAGGGAAACTTCTACGAACAGGTGGATGGAGTGGCAATGGGAAGCCCATTAAACCCGGTTATAGCCAACTTATTTATTTTGAGGAAAAGGCGATCGAGACCTCAGAGTACAAGCCAGCAAAGTGGTTCCGGTGCGTGGATGACACCTTCATGATTTGGAAACATGGTATGGACAAGCTCAACAACTTTCTGCAGCATCTCAACAGTCAACATCCCAGCATCCAGTTTACTATGGAGACTGAAAATGACCAACAACTTGCATTCTTGGACGTACTAGTGAGGAAGCGAGGTAACAAGCTGGGCCACACAGTTTACAGAAAACCAACCCATACGGACAGATACCTGCATGCTCTATCCAACCATCACCCAAGTCAAAAGTATGGGGTTATCAGAACCCTGACAGAACGAGCCCGAAGGATTTGCGAACCGGAGAACCTCCAGATGGAATTTGAACACCTAAAAACTACGTTCCAGCGAAATGGCTACAACAAGAGGGAGATCGAAAGATCAATGAACTCAAGACCATCGAGATCACGGGATACCGAACAACGACCCTTCACCTCCCACGCATATCTGCCGTATATTCCGAGTGTCACCAACAGGATTGGCAGAGTAACGGCTATCACAACAGACTAGTCAGGGAAGCCATTGAGATACAAAAACATCCACACAATTTCAACAGAAAGGAGGAGACCCTTAGACTCAACCAAATCTGAAACCCGATCCTTAGGAACGCCCGAGCAGTACCGATCGATATCCCGAGACCAACCGAAGCGGAACAAGCCCCGCCCACCACCAATCGGCATAAATACAACCTGCGCAGGAGAAATCGTCAGTCTACGTCCAACATCGGAGTTGGAAGGACCTCTGAAGAAGCTCGCCACTCGTGCTAGCGAAACGTTAGGAAGTAATTCCAATCGACGACGGCCTTTAAACCCGAATCAAGATAATAGCTGAATGGGTCCTGTTCTGCGAAGGAAAAGACATAGAGTTACTGGTAAGCAAACTTAATAGAGCTCTAAAAACATTACAGAACTGACTAGAGAACAACAACCTCCCACTGTGTGCTGATAAATGTGAAGCCGCCTGGTTTACAAAAGGTAGGAGAAGAGTCCCGTCGGTAAATATGTAACGGTCTATTCTTCACCGTTAGCGCTTCCGCCAATTCGTCAAGAACCCTGGTAAAATTTTCGAACGGAAAGAACTCCTTAGTAACAGCCAATTTTTTATTTAGGATCTTATTGCATTTACAGGTACAGTTAGCACAAGCCATTAAAAGAATATTTCTAACGTAGTATTGGGAAATTCCGTGTAGTGGTGGTTATCTTCTTCCAACCCTGTATATAATGCCCCTGCGTCGTCTTTTTTGGCCTTGTGGCGGTATTACACGCCAGTGCATGTAGACACGTTTGCATACTTCCTTAGATTGAGACCTTAGTACTTCTTGGATGGCTAGAGGCTGCTCGGAGTTGTAACGGTCATTGTAGCCATTGCTTTCGTTCGTCCTGGTATATTCCTGCGACATCCCTCGCACTCGAGGCTCCGTAGCATTGCCTGTCTCTATTCTAGTTGTTGCT